TATTCCTACATATAAAATCAAAAGGTTTTGCAATAAACAGTGCAACAAGTACATGTACGTATAGTACTATTCACAATATTCAAAAGGTGGAAAAAGCATAAATATCTATAAACAGAAGAAGGGATGAATGCATAGAATAATGACATTTTTCAAATAGATGTGAATTTTGAATATGTTAACTACTAGATAGTCAGGCACAAGTCATATTTTGTATAATTTGACATATGGAAATTACCAGGAACTGATAAGTCAATAGAGACAGAAACACCTATTGGTGGTATCTGAGGCTTAGGAATGGGAAGATGAGAAATTCACTTACAAGTTAAGTGTTGGTAGTAATGGAAATGTTTAGCAACTAGATCAAAGTAGTGGTAGTACATTATGAATAAAATAATTGCTGCTGATTTTTCCTTTTAAATGGTTTAATTTTATGGCATGTGAATTATAACTCTATTTGAATAGAAATGACTCTAAACAGGATTTCACTCATAAAAATTGTCAAGTTTCTTTGAGTGAAGTGGCTGCCTCCATAGTTAATAGGTATGTTATTTAATAGTGTCCATTATGTCTAATAAAATATCTTTTAATTTGAATATATTTATAATTTTGTAAAAGTTTCAAATTTTGGTGTAACCTCATTGGTAGCATTTGCCAATTACACATATTGTTAAAAATACAATTAAGTAGATTCTATTAACCTTAGGGGAATTGACAAATAATGATAATATAACTTCATTATATAAATGGAAATATACATTTTGAGAATAATATGAAGTAGGATTAAATTGACTCTATATACTGATATTATTCAATCTTTGATTTATTTTTTCCATAGAATTTCATAGTTTATGAAATAGAACCTGATTGTATATCCCTTTCTCTTCATATTAAACATGGTCCTGACTCTATCTAGTTATCTTCTTTGCTGGAGGTAAGCATAACCACAATTTTTAATCTGTATTCAAGTTATCATTTAAGTATATATTTAATTTCTCATTAACAAAATCTGCTGTAATTTTGCTGATATTTTTAATCATTATTACATAGTATTGGGCTGTTCAGCCACTTTGATTGTATGTCTCACTCAATTGTATAGTTTTCACTCACATATTAATTCATCTGGTTTTATTTTTATGCTAATTTTGTAGATATAAACTTATTAGACATTTACAAATTGTTTTTCAAAGAGACTGTACTCTTAATAATCCCACCAACAAAGCAAACATGCTGGCTTTGCTTCAGCACCTCGATATCTTTTAGTATTTACAGAATTTTGAACTGTTTTAAATTTTTTGTAGAATGAGAGTTGTATACAATTATTTAAATTTTTCTAATTATTGTGAAAATGTATGTATAAGCCATATGAGTTTTCCTGTACAATCTATATCAATACTTTCTCCATTTTTCTACAAAGCTTTAGTCTATCATTTAAGCAATGCATAAGTACATCTATTTTCTCCTGTGATTTACGTTTCTTCTACTTTATTTGTGAAGATTTCATCTTACAGACTTTTAACTTTATCTATCATGAAATTTCTTAATGATTTTGATTTGTATTTAAGGATTTCTACCATCATGACTCCTCTATGTAGTCTTCATTTGCATGGTTTGGATTCCTAGGACTAAAATATCAGTGCCCAAGCCAGTTTTGACATTTGAAGGAAGAAGCTCTATGAATAATGGAGAGGAGAGCTCTCTGGATAGGAGGAAACAGAAATATTGGGGTACACATGTATGGGAATCAAGGGTGTTCTTTATTGTTAGTGTTGAGGAGCTATTAAGCTTTTTAATCTCATTTTTAAAATATTCTTCTTTAATTTTTTAAAAACTCATTTAAAATTTTTAAAATTTTTTCCAGGTGTGCAATAAATATAAGTTTAATAGTACAGAACAACAGGGGAAAAGAAATAAGCAGCATCCAATATTTGATTTTCTTCCTTATCACTTTTTGTAGGGTCCCTCTAATGATATAAACTTACAAATTTCAAGGAAATTCCCATTCCACTCCCATTTTATCATAAATAAATTGAATAGTTTTTCTGTTTGTATGATAAAACAGAAAAGACTGTTACATTTGAATTGAAAAGGCACTCCATTTGTGATCAATGTCACACAAACATCAACATCACAAAACTAAAAATACACAGGAGATCAATACCATTCAATAAGTATGCAAGTTACTTCAGTCTCCCCCCACAAGGACCAATACTTCAAAAAATCATTAAAAAACCCTGCCCATTTCCAAGTGACCCAAGTAGAAGAGACAGCAAGATGCTATGCATGCTATTTTACCCCTCCCCTCGCCCTTCACTCCTTAGAAAACTGCCTGCTCTCCACAGAGACTGAAAATGGGCCTCATTTCTTCTTGGGGGAGAACAAATTCACTGACACCTTTGGGCAATAATCCTTTTTTCTCAGGAACCTTGGCTCTATACTTAGTTCTGCTTCCAAAGCCTCTTCATATAGTTCTGGGTAAGACTTGAGATCTTTTCCATTAAGATGGACCATATGAACTAGGAGTTCCATCTTGCTGGTTTCAGTGTGGGCCGGTGGACCCCACAGAAACTCATAGAGAGCAGGATCACTGTTAGGAATCTGCTGGTACATCAGGTACTCTTCCCATACTAAATCCTCAGTGATGAATTTCCAGGCTTCCTCAAAACGAATACACTCAGACTGAGCTAACATGTCCCATGTTTTCACTTTTTGGGTTAGGTCCTCCTCACTGATATGTTTGCCCTCTATGAAGATTAGAGACAGGACGAATATGATGATGTAGATTTTGAGAATGATTCTTTCATCATCACCATCTAGTATCCCACTGTATGTAAGACCCAAAATGGGGACTAGCTCATATGTATTGCCAGAGTAATTTACTTTCCTGATTTTAATGCCCTTGCCCAGATACTTGAACTCACAGTGTTCCCAAAAGTTCAGAGAGAAGTTTTTATGGTAATGATGGGGCAGAACATGCGGCATTTCTTTCATGGTGACCTGCTCCTTCTTTTGATACTTGTGGAGCAGAAATTACACCAACTTACATAACCTGGCATTTAGGAGCACATTTTGCAGGATGTGAGAGAAGTGTGCATCCTGAGAAGAGCTTGAACCCTCACAGGACTGACTCCTTTGAAGCCATGAAGACAGCAAGAACTTGTTGAAGATCAGAAGCTTTCAAATCTCCAGTGCTGGAAAATAGAGTGCTGAGCAATAGCAATTCAGCTGATCCAAGAATCCAAACAAAGATTTTGAAAAAAATCACAACTGAGAATTCTCCACTCTGCTGTGCAAGGCTAGTAACAGAGGCAAGAATGGGTTATTTTCAGAGTCTCCACCTGGAATGTGGCCTTCTCTCTCACCCACAGCCCTTAAAATATTCTTTTATTATACAATATGGTCCAAAATTATTGCTATGTTGCAAATAAAGCAGATTTATTTTCTGTAAACTATAATTTAAAATAATAAATAAGTAATGGAAGTAAAGAAAAAATACAAAAATAACAAAGGAAATGAAGGAATGGAGAAACAAAGGTGACAAAAAACAGCAAAGAATCTCAGTTGAGAACAATGTTTTTCTTGTTTGTTTTCTTCTATCATTTTCAATAATTATGAAAATATTTTATACTGATCTTGATGATTCACCTACATAATCCCAATGACCTATATCAGATAATGGTTGCTATGCATCTTTCTTCCCTGTCTATCACTATTTCTAACACAAATGACTCCTTTACTGATGGAAATTATGTCAGCCCATTGAAAACAGAGCCTAACTTTATTGATGAATCTAAGAAGTTTACTGATTATAACTTATCTCCTATTAAGCACCCCAAAGCTGACCCGAATGTCTTATGGCTTAGGGTATGTAAAAAGTAGACTTACATAACTTCAATAAAATCTATTTCATTAGTAGTTCTGTATTATGAATAAATAATAGAAACTATGCATTCACATATAGTTGGTAACTAACAGTTTGTTTAATTGGAAGAGTAGTGATGGGATATTCCTGTTTTTCCATATTTTTTTCTAGTCCTTTTTTGCTTTTAATATTTGTTATAAATCTTGTTCTAAATAATATTGAGTGTTATAATTTAATTACTGGTATTTGTGACATATTTAGTTGTAACTTCGTTAACAGTTACCTTGCTGTTTTTTCACGGATTCTTTAAATATTAACTAAGTATAACAACTTTTAAAAATAACCTTTCTTATATTTTTTTCAGAATAATTCTACTGAATTTCACTGGATATGAAAGTGCAAAAACATAGAAAAGCCCATGAATTTAAGTTTTCAGAAGAAATAAAAGTGAAAAACAATTTAGTTTAAAAAGGTAATGGAATTCCATGCATTTAAGAAAGAAATTTGAATAAACATGCATTGTCATATAAATTTAATGGCCCACCTTACTATATAATACAGGAGGCAGTTGCTATGTAGAATCAACCTAATGTGGCATATTGTATGTTTAAAGTAGATTTTACTAATATTTTTGTCCTTCAATATTTACACTGATGTTCTAAAATAGCAGTGTCATTCGGTAGGACAGTGTATTGTAACAAATTGTTTTTACAAAATTCCTGAAAGATCTAGGATTCTGAGAATCTTGCCCTATGATCTGTGCCCTGACATTATCTGATGGGTTTGAATGTCAGAAGAATGTTTTTGTAACTTGCTGACTATGGATTTTAGTATGCTGTGATATAGTGCCAGCTAAAGAATATAAGGATAGCTTAGCCAATTGCCCTGCAATATTAGAAACGTTAGAGATTTAGACTGTGAGTGAACACTTACATCTCCTATTTGTATCTGCATTGGAGAAATCAAACATTGACCAACTTCATGTCATTGTTTCCTAATCTACTGTTTAGACATTATATATTGATACAAAATAAATACATAGAGTGCACAGTCCCTGGACATACCACACTGTTCAGTAATTTCATAGGAATATGGACTGGAACCCTCTGGATGTCTTCAAGTCTTTCCTATGCATTTCAGTATGAACAATATTACTGCAGTTACAGCATTCGTTCTCAAGGGCTTCACAGATGACACTCAGCTGCAGACCATTCTCTTTTTCCTGTTTCTAGCTATTTACTTTTTCACTCTTATGGCAAACGTAGGCCTGATTCTATTGGTCATTGAGGATTCCCAGCTGCACAACCCAATGTACTATTTTTTGAGTGTGTTATCATTTGTGGATGCCTGTTTTTCTACTGTAATTACTCCAAAAATGTTAGGAGATTTTATGTCAAAAAGGAAGGTCATTCTATTTCCTGAATGTGCAGTGCAGATGTTTCTTGCTGTTACTTTTGGGACCACAGAGTGCTTTATCTGGGCAGCAATGGCTTATGACCGCTACGTAGCCATCTACAACCCTCTGCTGTACTCCGTGAGCATGACCCCCAGGATCTATGTGTCACTCATTGCCGCTTCCTGTGTTGGGGGACTTTTGCATTCTACAATACATACAGTGGCCACTTTCAGCCTCTCCTTCTGTGGGTCCAATGAAATTAGACATATCTTTTGTGATATCCCTCCTCTTCTTGCTATCTCCTGTTCTGACACTCATATCAATGAGCTTCTACTCTTCCTCTTTGTGAGCTCCATTGAGGTGGTCACCATCCTGATCGTCCTCATCTCTTATGGTCTCATCCTGTTGGCCATTCTGAAAATGCCTTCTACTGAAGGAAGGAGGAAAGTGTTCTCTACCTGTGGCTCTCACCTAACTGGAGTGTCGCTTTATCATGGGACAATCCTCTTCATGTACGTGAGACCGAGTTCCAGCTATGCCTTGGAGCATGACATGATAGTGTCCATGTGTTACTCTATTGTCATTCCCATGCTGAATCCTGTCATCTACAGTTTGAGGAACAAAGATGTCAAAGGGGCCTTAAAAAGACTGTTCAGAAAATGTGTGTGTAGGGATAAAACTGAATTTTTCTCAGCAAAATTTGAGCTGAATAATCTTGTTTTAGATAAGCAGTGTTAGTATTCTTATTGAAAGTTAAATAAAGATCTTAGTCAAACTATTCAGTTTTCCACACACATGTATATTTCTTTCTTTATTTTTGAGTTCATACACAAATACATATATAAATGCATACTTCCATGTGTGATAATACTGGATCCATTACTGTGCTGGGATTGCAGTAAGAAAATGCCAAAGATGGAATTGTTTTAACAGCACAGATATATTTTCTTAGTTTTGGATACTAGAATTCTAAAACCAAGGTGTTGGCAGGGTGCTTTCTTCTGAGGCTTCTCCTTGTGGGTTTTGGGTTTCCAGCTTTACCCTCTGTCTTCATGTGACCTTTCTGCCTGATGTGTCTGCATCCTAATCTGTCTTTTCTGTAAGAACATCAGGTATATTCAATTAAGGTTTTAATTTTTATCTAATTACCACTTACATTAATACACTGACATGCTGAGGTGTAGTAGGGGTAGACAACTGTCTCCCCTAGTAGATTTTCAGTAGTATTAATCTGATAAAAAAATAAGATGAGCAATTGTTATTACTAGATACTAAAGAGAAAATTGAATTCCATCTACTCAAGTTGGGGAAGTAAAATAATAAAATATAGCATCTAAAGTCTATAATTTTAAAAATTAGTATTTGTGAAAAAATAAAGAGTACTGATGTATTTAACATAAAGACATGATAAAGGTGTATATTGATGAATATGTTAATATATGTCAATTACATACTTCTCATATTCATGCATCAAAATATCCAAATCTACTTCATAATTTCCATGAATACATAATTATAAATAAAAATCCATGCAATTATTGAATTAGTCAAATATGAACAAAATACTATAGTCAGAATAATCCAGGAGAGAGAAGGTATGTAGGGAAAGAGAGAAAGAGGGAGAGAGGTGGAGAGAGATGGAAGAGGTTAACAGTAGCTACAATTTAAATGTATCTATAAGTATACCTTAAAAAAACTGGATCAAAAAGTATGCATCATTGGAAAAATTGCTCTTGTGTAAGCAAAATGTTAAAAAGTTTTGAGGTGCTTCATTTCCTTTGAATTGTTTTGTTTTATACTTTTTTCTAATGAGTGTGTGTTATTTCTATGGGCAAAGTGTACTTGTAAGAATAAAATATTTAGTGAACATTTTATTGTTCTACTCAAAAATTTTATTATTTGAGTGTGTCAGTCATAAAATTAGCATGCCTCTGGAAAATATTTTCTCCTGCACCCGAGTCAAAACTTCTTGATTCATCCTTTCAGTGTAAATATTATGCTCTGAAAGTTAATGTAACTATGTGTCAATGTGAGAAGTTAGCAAATGGAGTTTGACAACAACTTAGAGGATCACAGGAGATGAGTATACTCTTTGACCCGGAGCTTCTAGGAGAAAACAAACCAAAAAAATCTGTCCATTTATATACTCAAACTTTTGTCCTTGGAATTGCTCCAAGCAGGCTTCCTTGGAAGTGGCTCCCTGTGGATGACTGCCATGGTTTGGGTCTAGATGTACCCCCAAAGACACATGTGGCCACAGGATTGATCTAGAGTGTGAAGCTGGAATTGATTCATGATGCAATGCTAGGCTCATGGGCACCAGGATTAAGGGTGTGAGTTTTACCCACCCAAAATAGTCTGAATGAGATAAAAGGGGCAGAGAGACACAATAATTCCCTCTTGTTACCTTTTCTGCCCTGTGCATACCATGTTGTTTCTGCTCTGCCATGACTGTTTTTCATCCCTGCCTTGGAGTTGGCTGATTATGGACTGAAACCTCAATGAACTGTAAGCCAAATAAACCCCTTCCCCTTTAACTTTGGGTGTCTGGTATTTTGTCTCATCAATGAAAGAGAAGAAATTTAGTACCAGGGAAGCAGGGTCATTGCTATGACATTACCTGGTCACGTGGCTCAAAAGCCTTTGGAACTGGCTTGTGAAAAGGGAAGAGATAGGAAAGATTTGGAGATGTTGGCTACAGAATCAGCACTGGAATGCCTTAGAAAGTTTAGTATGGGAGATTCTGGTCAGAGCTCAGAAGACCAGAAGGCTGGTAGAGACCAGGCTCAGGAGGTTTCTTCTGGGAAGGACTGCATTGGCTGCTGGACTTCAGAAGATGTTTTCTTCTGACTTGACAGAACGTTTGTCTGAATTTTGCTCATGTTCTGAGACTCCTGGAAGATTCAGAGCTACTAGCTAAAGAAGTAGGGCTGCAATGCCTTACCCTGTTCTGTTGGGGAGATTCTTGTCGGAGAACAGAAGACTAGAAAGCTTATAAAGACCAGGGTGGGAAGGTTTCTACTAGAAAAAAGGACTGTATTGGTTGTTGGACTCCAGATGATGTGCATTATAGCTTGGCAGGAAGTTTGTCTGCATTTTGCTCATGTCCAGAGACTTTGCCTGATACTGAGATTAAAGGTAATGAACTAATTAATCTTGCAGAAGAAATTTCAAGGCAGTCGAATATTGAGGCAGTGGCATGGCTACTGTTGGGGGCTTTTATCCAGATCTATGTGGAGAACCAAGAGCAAAAAAGCAAGCAGAATGATTTAAAACATTTTGAGTTAGGCCAGAAAGGAAGATCTAGTAAAGCTGTAGACTGCAAAGATAGAGCAGAGCATATCTTGATTACTGAGATGGAACAGGAAAACAGAAAATGTGGTTTCAGAGCATCACAGGAAGCAGTAGGACTCCACACTTTGGAGCCTCAGATTTATAAATGTGAAGAGATTTACTTAGAAAAAAAAAGCCTGAGAAAACCAGATTCCAAAATGGTGACCACCATACCATGTTCCAGAATGACAGCAGCCTAGGGAGGCTCTTCCAAAATGGCAGCCTAGGAAAGCTCTTCCAAAATGGTGGCAACCTAGAGAATTTGTTCATTGGGGTTGGGTTCAGAGTGCTCAGCAATCCAGACACTCAAACCCTATAGCCAAGAGAGAGGGAAGAGTAGGTATTGTTCCAGTTGGCAGCAGACCTTGTCATCATCCAAGTGGTGCTGGTTTTAGGTGTATGAAGACTGCAAGAGTTGTGGGGTCAGGAAGGCTTCCACCCAGATTTCAGAAGAAGTCCCAGGAGGCCAGGCAGTGTGACCTTATAGGGCAGTGCGTGAAGCTGTGAGTGTGAAGCCAAAGGTGCACTGGAGACCCTGGAAGTTTGGAGAAGCTAGGCGCATGGATCATCTGAGGAAAACTGCAAGGAGGAAGCAGAGCCAGACCAAGAGAGCAGCCATAGGAGCTACAACCACCAGAAATGCCACAGAAGTGGAGCCACCCAAGCCCTTTGGAGTTCACAATTTGCCACAGATTGCTGGGGATGCTGGAAATGGAACTGTGGGATTTACTGTTTGCCCTACTGGATTTTGGGCTTACTTTTGTCCCTTTCCATTGTATCCTCCTGTTTGTAACTTTTGGAATGGTAATGTCTGTCTTGTGCCACTGAATGTTGGAAGAGTTTGACTTTCTTTTAATTTGTACAGGGGCTTGCAGCTTAGAGTTTGCCTTAAATCTCAGAGGAGACTTTGGACCTGGCCTTTTCAGCAATACTGAAACTGTTAGGACTTCGGCAACTTTTAGAGATGGACTAAATGCCTTTTGTGTATAGGAATGTACATGAGGCTTTGGGAGGCCAGGGATGGAATGTTATGCTTTGTGTCTAGATGTTCCCCCAAAGCCTCATGTGGGCATAGGATTGATTGAGATTATGTGAAGCTGGAATTGATGCATGATGCAATACTAGGCTCATGGGCACTGGGATTAAAGGTGTGAGTGCTAGCCACCCTAAGTAGTCTGAATAAGATAAAAGGGGCAGAGAGACACCAGCAATTCCCTCTTGTTACCTTTGCTGTTTTGTATGTACCATGTTGTTTCTGCTCTGCCATCCCTGTTTTGCATCTCTGCCTTGGAGTTGGCTGATTATGGACTGAAAACTCTATGAACTGTAAGCCAAATAAACCCCTTCTCTTTGAACTTTGAGTGTTTGGCATTTTGTCACAGGAATGAGAGAAAAGTAGCCAACACAGTGACCAAATGCTGGAATATTCTGCATGTCCATTAGATAAGCACCCCTGCAATTACCAGTCTTGGAGGCAAGGCATGAACTGCTCTGATTATTTTTACAGTTTCTTCCTTGAATTCTCTGCAGACAAAACTCCCTGGTAAATTTTGCAGTTCATTACCATATGAACAAAATTTCTACTGTGATGTAATTAAGAATGAAAAAGGAATACAGAGGACCATAAGGTTAAATTACATCAGATATATAAATATTATACCAATGAAATTTTCAACTCCTGAAATCTAAATTTGACAAATTTCCAAGCAGATATTATTGGAGGATTATTTTTTAGCCTTTGTCTCACAGTAAGTATCATTCTTAAAATTGGAGGGAATTACACTAGATAAAATAAAATGGGAATTTTATTGGACTATTATGCATGCATACACACATTATTTAAATCTTGCCATGAAGAATGTTGTGATTTGCAAAACAGTAATATAGAATTGATGGAAACAAAGTATGCAAGCAATGTACATTTTCTAATAACGTAATTTATGCAAGAAAATTGATTTTTAATAGAGGTTAAGAAAATATATCATTATCAGAATTGAAGGCCCTTATTGTCTTTACTGCCTCCAAAACAGATGGAGAAAATTTAGTTGGTGGAAAGAAAAGTGTTTATTCCTTGCTAAGCCAAAAGACACAGAGGGGTCCCCTTTGGGATCAAAGTTCTATCTCTGAGTTTTGGCTTGCAAGGGCTTTTATGTCAAAGTCACCCCAAGCTCCCTTCCTCCCTTGTCCAAATTAAACCAAGCCTTGAACTCCTGGGATCTTATCTGAATATTCTTTTCAGAGGGATACAATATTTTTCTGTCAGATCATTACTTGTCAGTCCCATTGCTGAGGGGAGGACAGGGAGGGTGCATTTTCCTGCTCTGGGCCAGAGGATGTGGGAGAAGTAGCCAATATTTAAAATCCTAATGATTAAAGAAGTATTTTACTCTCTCACTTCCCATGTC